TGGTCACAATTTATTATTTTACACAATAATTATCTACCGACTCGTAAATGTACTCCACGATTTCAATTTAATTTAAACTTATAGTAATTATGAGATTAAACCAAGTATTTGTACATGAAGTTCTTACTAAACATAATATTATGTCTGTATGAACTCATGATTTTTGTTATTGAGTGCATTATCGTGCCCATACCTTGTATAATTAATTTATTGTATTGATCAGTTTTGGCTTAGATGACGAAATAGGAACATTTTCTATTCTAGGACATAACACATGCATGCACTTRAAATGATTAATTGTACATTTTATATTAGTTGATTCCGTTAGGTGATAGCCGTGGAAATTAAAATTAATTTCATATTTGAGTAAGAGACTTTTTATGATACAAATATGTAATTGCTGATTTATAATTAAACTAACCATTTTCATGAAATGTCGCTTGATCCCCACGGTATGTATTAAGTTTATCTAGACGGACATGTACATAAATAAATTGTGCTTAGTACCTAAAAAAAATTATGCTTAAGATTAAAAAATAAATAAGTTAATATTTCAAATGTTCCGAGTTCTTGTTTTGATTATCTACTATGAAACAYAATATTTTTAATTCAAATTCAACACATATATTACAGTGATTTACTAAATGACAAGATAGACTTGTCTTCATCTTCAGTAATGCTAGTAATTATATTTTTTATTGGTTATATCAATGATTTGTTTGAAATATATTAATATTTACATGACATGTTATTAAATTGTTTTCGTATAAATTGAAATTACTTTTTCATTTCATATAATTACGTTTTGCACATATTTTTTTAATAATTTTAGACTCTTTTAAATATAATTTAAAGTAATTTGCATTGAAACGAAAAACGACAGGAATCAGTCTGCTTTTCGATTCAAACTAAGTATTTTGAATTTACGACTTTTTTTATGAAAAACTTTGTTTTTTTTGCACCATAATAAAAGAACTTTTATAAAATGTATTGCGAGAAAAGATTCTTCGGCCAACCGTTGACGTAGCAATTAAAATATCAGTGGCTTGGAACCGTTCTAAMAAACACGTATTTTTTGTCAAGTAAATCATCAATCTTATTATTTTCATCGTTTCAATATCAATATTTGTCTAGAATCTAGATTTCAGGAAGAAAAAACGCGCCTTCACAGCATCTGGACCCCTATAATATCGTGTGACCATACCTTACCTAACCATATATCACAGACGATGCGATACTATATCATGACAAATTACAGTAAATAATATGACACCGCAATAATACGGTCGATTGGAAACAATATTATAGCTAATAATAATATTATTAATCGTCAAACGCATGTGCGACGACGGCTTACCTGCGAAAATCTCTGCTCCAGCAGGCATAGATCACTGGGTTCATGCCACTGTTGATCCACCCGAGCCAGGCCACCACGGACGATAGCAATTGGTCCTTGAACACGCAGCTCTCGTCGCAGAACCCGGAGAGCAAGTTGACGACGAAAAACGGCAGCCAGCAGACGATGAACACGCCCATGACGATGCCCAGCGTCTTGGCTGCCTTCTTCTCGCGCGACAACTTGCTCAGCTTTCGACTTAGGGAAAAATTTTTCTGCAGCTGGTGAGCTCGCGTGTAGCCTGCCGACGCGGACGTGGTTGTCCCGCCACCCCGGTGTATTCGGAGCGTGAGTTCCATGCGACCGCCGCCGGCACCACCACCGCCGCCACCTGCACCACCGCTGCCGCCACTACCACCGCCGCATCCGGAGCCACCGCCGGACGACGGGGTGGACGACAGCACTTTGGTGCCCAGCCGCTGGCACCGGGTCTGCGTTACAGCCGCCGTGTAGATCTTGTAGTACGTGAACACCATGACCACCAGTGGCACGTAAAACGATATGGTGGACGAGAAGATCAGGTAACCGGTGCTGTTGGTGAACGGGCACGTGTTGCTGGGAACGGGTTCGGTGCGGACCAACCGCCACCATATGATTGCCGGAAAACTGATGACGCCGCTACACACCCACACGGCGGCGATCAGCCGGTACGCCCGCTTCCGGCTCATTTTCGTCGGGTACGTGAACGGATCGGTGATGGCCCAGTACCGGTCCAGTGATATCACGCACAGGTTCAGTATGGACGCCGTGCTGAACAACACGTCCAGCGACCGCCATACGTCACACGCGTTTATGCCGAACGTCCAGTAATGGTCGAGCACCTCCTGCACGGCGCTCACCGGCATCACCACCAGCCCGACCAGGAAGTCGGCGAAAGCCAGCGACGTGATGAAATAGTTGGTAGCCGTGTGCAGATACCGCTCCCGGACCACAGCGACGATAACCARACAGTTACCGAACACGGTCACCATGCAGAACACCATCAGCACCGCCGACAGCGGGAAACGGTCGCTGAAAATCGACCGACAGGAGACCGCCTCCTCCGTGCCCGTCGGGTCCTCGTACTCGACAGTGCCGTTTACCAGCGCCACCATTGTCGTCCAGTTCATTTTCGTTCACTTTCCCTGCAGCTTCTCTATGTCACGAAAGAAGTTTTTACTCGTTGTATGGATTCGCTATTCCGGAAAATCGTCACTGTAACACACAAAGTAATTACTCAGCGTGTTCAAACTGTTCACGATTTATGTTGATTCAAAAAAATAAAATAAAAACAGATTCGTTCACTAAATTTATAAATTACTTAAATAAGTACCTATAAATGACGATACGTCTCATGTTCTGTAGCTTTATTAGAGTTGTTATTTTTTACAACCTAAAAATTATAATATAATATCATATTTGATTAAGTTGTGCATTTTGTGTTCTTAAACAAATGGATACAAAAAAGTTCCTCTAAAATGTTATTACTAGAGCCCGGAATTATATTCTTTTGCATGTTTGAGAATATTTCAAGATAAAAGAATGGTATTTCGTATAATAAAGAATATTAGAGAGTATATATCGATTAATTTGTATAGTTGTTCGATATTTTTGGTTGCAGTGACGTAAATAATTTTAAATTATATTATGTCCGATAATAGTGATAATGATATGATATTGAAAATATACTATATATTTATATACCATCGTCCATCGTATATACGATTGTTATACCCTACGTAGTAATGTGCTGCAATCCACTGTACTATATAATAATATGATAACTGATTTGCAATATGCTCCTGTGACTTCAGTTGACGCGAACGTTCTTTTAGTACATATAAGAACATTTTGACCGACCGTCGCACAAGTATGACACCAGAGCACATGGAACAAAATATAGTTATYAACTGTTTCCAAACATTTTCTTAGTTRAAAATTTAAAATAATTAAATATTTAATATTATTATTAATAATTTAATCGAACTTTTCTTAACATGAAGTATTTTTTATTGTGTACCTATTTTATATAGTATTTATATCAGGTTTTTGTACTATTTAATTATTTTGAATATTATGTATCTTATTGTATCTATTTATATCAGTTTTTTTATTATTTGCTTAATTTTCTTGCATATTGAGAATATATATTAATAAAAAAGCATATTTTATTATGATTTTTAAAGAATATTGGAAGAATATTTTCAACTTTTTAAGAGAATATTAGCATCTTATTTTGGCTATTTTTAAAGAATTTAATTCCGGGCTCTAGTTATTACAATGAATACCCTACACTAATATATTCAATTGACAATTATTTTAACTTTTATAATTCACAATTAACTTTACATATTTTGTAAGTAAACAAATTTATATTAAAATGAATCGATGTTTTTTTTCAATTCGCACATTTTTCAAAACCTTATTATTGTACCATAGTGCAGCTGCGGCAATAGTAACTGAAAGTATAAATATAAATATTTGATATATTTTTTAACAATAGAGACCGTAAACAGTAATATAGATTTTTCTCTCAATAATAGGTATTTATCGAAGAACATTTCTATATTCATAAAATTATTAATATATGAAATGCCATCTGTTTTTTTTAAATGTATTTTTATGGAGAAAATTTCCATCAATTTATCTGCTTTTGTTCAATCAATTTTTGTATCGGCTCATCGCGTTGAAATTKTTCATAAATTATTTAGAACGAATCCCTATTGACACGAGTACGTGATGTACTTCACTTTTATTTGTTTTATACTTATGACTACCCGATTATTGTCAAATCCAAACTTCCGAAACGATTTACCTATTTCATCTCTTGTCATATGTCAACTCGTCTAGTTTTAATATAGCATTTATTTTATAGGAAATACCATTCATCTATTCATTGCATCGTCAGTGATTGTTGTTTGAATTTGAATAATGCATTGTTTGCTACGTACCTACCTACCGTTGCAATGAGTCACTATAAGAAAACAAACTAGGTTAAGTAAGGTTTAAATTTCGGCATAGTTCATACTATTGTTATATTATTCTTATTTTGGATTTATAGATTCATGTTTTTATTTAATATAGGTCAATTATTATAGTTCGGTGCATTTGTCATTATAGGCACAAGTAAATACACCATACTATCGTCACTCATTTTATTTTTCATTGACATATTTTACCCCTCACTTGCGTGTTGTATTTTTTTAAAGAACGTTACTTACCCTATGAAATCAAATTAAATTATACAATATGATATGATTTATATTTTATATATGACGTATATCTATAAAAAGGTTTATCGATTAACTCGTTTAATATTTTATTGTTAAATTAATTACGCGGTGTTAAAAATTGTTGAGCTGTAATAGTATTACTAAAAGCTTATATAAAAAAAAATTATTAGAGTGATGCACAATGTTAAGTTAAATTTGGTATTTTATTATTGCTTAAATTACTAATGAAATAAAAATATATTTATTTAGCTGAATTAATGAATAATGTAAAATTATAAAATATGGAGAAATATTCAAATAACATAAATATTTGTATTATC